CTCTCCCCCACACACACACACACACTTATATATGCAAAATTTGGCAGCCTTCTATGCCTTACAATTTTATAGCATACATGTGCTTGCATCATTCAACATGAGTTTTTTTTAGATTGCTAATATATATTCGTATATTATTTGTCATAACCCGACCCGGGGCTTGGACTTAAAGGCGGGTATAGACGATCGGACGGTGCAAGCATTAAATTTATTCTATAACTAACATTTAAATATGTATATGAAAGAGCCACTATAAAAATGAATTAAAGTAAAAAAAATTAAATTTATCTTATTTTTGGTTGTTCGTGTCTTTTATAAATATTATTACTTCAATTGTTTAATTTTTAATTTGATAATTTAACCTGAAATTTCAGTTTAAAACAACAGTAAACTAAACGAAAATATATAATACTCATACTCTTAAATTATAGTAATTCAATGTAAAAGGTGACAATATGCATATGAATTAAACTATGTAAAAATATAATAGCATTAGGCGGATTGTACTATCTAACTTGATCATTCGAAGTGATTTTAACTATTTATCATGTTTTACTATATTGTTTACTTATCAATATTCTTTTTAATTTGAATACAACTGTAACAGGAGCACTATCTAAAAATTATATCACTTAAAGTAAATCAATATCAATAATTCTTTCCATTTACATGCTTGAGTATTTTAACGTTCTCCTACTAATATTATAAAGGGGCACTCCATCATAGCCAAACATCCACATGCAAACAATCAAAATAGTAAATTTCATTCTTATCATGTAATTCAATAACTTGAACTATGCATTTAAATAACATGCAAATATCGGTGATATACACTCAGTATGATCAAAATGAAATTAAAGAGCCAGTATGTCTTACTCTATTTTTTACATATCAATATTCTTTTTAATTTGAATACAACTATTACAGGAACATCGTCTAAAATTTATATCACTTAAGGTACATCAATATCAATAATTCTTTCTATTTATGTGCATGAGTATTTTAATAATTTTTTGCTAATATTATAAAGGGGCAGTCCCTCATAGCCAAAATCCACATGCAAACAATCAAAATAGTAAATTTCATTCTTATCATATAATTCAATAACTTGAACTATGCATTTAAATAACATGAAAATATCAGTGATATACACTCAATATGATCAAAATGAAATTAAAGAGCCACTAAAATCTATTTAATCAAGTCACAGTGAATCAAACTTAGGAGAAATCAAAGTTACTATACTTTAAAATTATAAGTACTCATCTTAATTAGCTTGCTTGGCACACCGATTCCTGAACCCCTCTTACCTTCTTGATCCAAATGTTCTTTAACCTAAATTAATGCTAAACATTAACCTTTTTATTTATTAAATATTAATTATAAATTAAGCAAATTGAACTTTAATTAAACATATCTTATCTTTCAAGATAATTTGAACATCGATCTTGCGATCTTGCGATCTTGCGATCTTGCGATCTTGCAATTGTATCTCCCTTAGTCAATTATGTCCTGATTTCATATACTTCTATTATTAACATTTAAATATTAAATTTGAATAATCATAAAAGATTCATTAATTAAATTAATACAATCATAACTTATCTTAAATAAAAAATTGGTTTCGCTAAACTTTCACTCTCCACGTCGCACTTGTAACTCTTCAATTTTCCTTGTAATAAAAGTTCGCATCACTAAACACCATCCGATTCTGAACTTTATAGTTTATATCCTATTTCAAAATAACTTTTGTTAACACATTAATTCAATAAATATATACTCATACACACAATTATTCATATAGTAATATATTTTTAACTTATTAAATTATTAAGCTTAGCTTTTTTATAATATTTAGCTCTAATCTAGTTCACGCACGCTCAATTTTCCCCCATTTGCTTCGGTCTCTACATGCGAGCACGATGCACAAAAGGTCTCCTTCTTCCCCTTCGATCTCTACACACGAGCACCACATGACCTACGCATCGGCGGTGCCCTTCATCTCACAGCAATCGCACAGGAAATCCTCAACGTCGTCTCTCCTCCTTCCAACATGATGCAACTCAATTGTTCTTTCTGCTGCTCCTCTTCTTCCTCTGCACGCGAGCGGCTAGGGTTTGAGTCTTCCTCTCCATTTTACACTGGACCTGCTCGACGATCACATGTGCGGGTAAACCTTCAATCTCCTCTTCCCACAAAGCCGTTTGCATTGTAGCAATGTGCATAGGCTTCGAGAGTGTTGCACACAAGTTATCTTCCTTTCTTCCTCTTCTTTTTTGTTTATTCGCTTCTAGCTTTCTCCCTCCCTGTATCTCGGCTTTTTTTCTCCTTATCTCTGGTGCTTCTCCCCTCGGATTCGATTCAGAGAAAAGGTGCAAAAATATCCTTTTAAATTTTTTTTAGTTAGAGTTACGTCTCTTTCAAACGACATATTCTTTTATCATTATTATTATTATTATTATTATTATTATTATTATTATTTATTGATTATTACATCATTAGTCACAATCTTTAAGATAGAATTTAGCTTTAGTCACATTCTTTGATGAGGAAGTACTTATAAAGTAACACCAATCATGAGAATAAATGTTGCAAACTTTTATTAGATATAGCTCTAAAGCATATGTTATCTTGCAACAACCCAAGAGAACTTGGTGGTCTATAATTTCGGCAGCTTCATTTAATATATTTTGTTAGGTACTTATTACCATACGACATCATTAGATGTGTATTTATTTCTAATATCTTTTGAGTTTAAATATGAAATTTGTTAAGTTAGAATGATAATTAAGCAATTTAAAATTCAAATTTAATGTAATAAGTATTTTAACCGAAAAAAATATTCATATAACTTGTATAATTTTATTTCTCTCAGAAATGACATGAATGAACTCAATTTATAAACTCAATAAGGCTAATTAAAATTTAAATTAACATCACTGTTGTTTTTTTTTAGCAATAAGTGAAAAAAAAACAATGATGAGATTCCTTTATCATGTAGTGATGGCGAGCCGTGGCCATGAATAATGACAGATCCTTTCATGAAAATGCAGGTTTTAGTAAATGAAGTATACGTTTTTGCAAGCACATGGATGCATTACAAGCTACTATGAAGATTATATGTGAATGCTATGAAAATGTATAGTGATCTTGTGGATGAATTTCGATAGGTTTGGATGAAGGTTAATGCAACATAATTTTTTTAAAATAACACGTCAACTAGTTAGACTATATCCTTAGTTTTTGCATTGCAAGTCACGAAGGAAAAGACATGATGAAACTGGTGACAATCTGTTCAAATGAGATACTATATAATTAGTGGATTATCATAGAAGATGACTTACTAATAACTAGTATAATCGGTTTATTGATGCACCACTTTAAAATGGCATAAAAAATTATTTATCTAGAGCAGTTTGACTAGGGAGACAACAATCATTAGAATATTATTTTATATGCACCATCACCCTACAATCTTTTGCAAAGCATAAATTGACTAAAAAATGGCAAATTAAACTTGCATGGCAATAGAAAGTATTCTGGAAGAAATTGTATGCAGTACTAGTAGGAAGATGTCCCAATTTTATGGTATACGTAGTTCTACACCAGTCTAATCATTGTATTGCAAGTAGTAATGAAGATGTTATGAATTATATTTCTGATTGTTTTTGAAATTTTATTCTTTTTGTGGATAATAAAATATTTTCTTTGGTACTTGGTGGTACAGCCTTTAAATATGGCTTGATTTACTAAATCTATGTGTAAGTTGGATTTAAGTGCTATAATGCTAAATACTCTTTGCAGCTAAACACCTCCTTTAGAGTCTCTGTTCTCTATTAGAAATTTGAGTCGACGCACAACTTCAAAATTCGAACTTTTGTTATCTCTATTAATCTCCCAGCTTATACAGGTAGAAGGCCGGATAATAAAAGCACAGATTTGGGACACAGCTGGGCAGGAGCGGTACCGAGCTATTACCAGCGCTTATTATCGCGGAGCACTTGGTGCCATTCTTGTCTATGATGTGACCAAACCCACTACCTTTGAGAATATCAGCCGTTGGCTCAAAGAGCTCCGCGACCATGCCGACTCCAACATTGTGATCCTACTGATTGGCAACAAGACTGATCTCAAGCACCTTCAAGCTGTGGCCTCTGAGGATGCTCAGAGCTATGCAGAGAAGGAAAGTTTGTCCTTCATTGAGACTTCAGCGTTGGATGCCATAAATGTGGAGGAAGCCTTCCAGATGATTTTGGCTGAGATTTACAGGACCATTAGTAAGAAGACTCTTTCTTCTTCGGAGGAGACCGGATCAGGCCCAAATGCTGGGATCAAGGAGGGGAAGACAATTCAGGTGTCGGGTGCGGAGGCAAACACTACGAAGCAGTGTGGCTCTACCTAGGAAAGAGTGTTATGTCTGAAGATTTTGCTGGTTTCATTTTGTTCCCTGCCTATGTGCTCCGATTTTAATTGTTAATTTTTTTAGGGTGTATTTTGCAGAAAAATCATTCGTCTTTCCAAATATGTGATATCATTTACAGATTTATGAGAGAAGAAATGGAGATGATAAGAAAGTGTGCTAAGCTAAGATAGAAATGTATTAGAGAATTTATGATATAATTTTTGCAGTAGAATATTATGATATTTTGTTATTTGTGAATTTATACTGCAGGAAAATGATGTTAGAGTAGGTGTAGGTTATTCTATTGTAGGTGAATTTCTTGTCATCAAATCCCATTGAGATTATAAATCGTGATATGCATTCCAGAGCCAACGAAGCATTGTAAAATAGCGTAAATTTAATACATCAAAATTTATTCAGGCTTTTAATTCCTGTGAATGTGGAATTAGGAGGGACGACTTTTGATTACTGTATTCTGCTGTCTACGATTTCTTCATAACAAATGAACTTGAGCTAAAGCTTTAAGCCTATATTGAATATTGAAAATGATTAATACTCATAATTAGTTAAAAGGGCCTCTCTTAACCTCACTTTAGCTAATTATAAGTAATTATGTCCTTAAATCTCTGTTTAGTTAGATATATGTAATTAATCTTACTTCCGGTGTGTGTGTGTGTGTGTGTGTGTGTGTGTGGATATGAGGGAAATGATTGTAAATCGCTGATCGCCCTTCTTCTCTCAATTACATCTTTATTGTTTCTTCTTGAATATATTGCCTGCAACTTCTCCATTCAATCCCAGTAGCTGCTTCATTTCATGGTATCAGAGCAATTTGCCTCACAGCCTTGTTCTGTTCTCTTTTCTCAGCTTAGTGGCATTTTTGTTCTCTTTTTTTCTGTTTCGGTTTGCTATCCAATATAGATCGTCACTCCGGTACTTGAAGTTCGCTGATTATTAAAAGGACTTCTCGCCATGGATGACTCCAGCAGCTCGCAAACTCACGAATGATTGGCGACGCTTGGCATCACTGATACTCCAATTCCATCGTCTTTGAAGTGTCTGATTACAAATCTCAAATCCACGGGGACGACATCTATCTCTGTAGATAATTATCAAGTGTGGATGTCTCAGATGATGCAAATGGGTTCTTAGGTTTTCTTGAAGGTAGTTTACCCATTTCCTCCCCGGTTGTGGCATCTGAATCAGGTATATCTTCGGTTAATCTTGCTCACTCTGTGGATTCTGATCAATCAGAATTTAGTGGATGCCTTGTATTCTGCAATCTAGCCATTCTTTTTGCCTTATGTTCTGAATTTGAAGAGTTGTCACGAAATCTGGATCTTGTTGGAAAAGCGATTACTGGCTTCCAATCGATCTCGAGTAATCCAATTGAAAAATGATTGACACAATGTGTATGTGAAATCTTACAATGACACAATATTTAATGCAAATTAAAGCCATTATTGACAACATTTTTGCAGCTGGGTCAAAAGTGGATTCAGCATATATTATTCTTTCTATCCTAAAAGGAATGCCTCCGTCATATCAAATCTTTAAAACTGCAATCCACACTAAACTAGCTCCCATAAGCCTTGGGAATCTTTATGCTCTTCTGAGCAGCAAGGAAATCAATCTCTCTGCTGAATTAAGGTCGGAAACTATAGAACCTAATTCTCAAACTGGTCTTTGCATTTACAAAGAGAAAGGTAAACCGTACAAAAGTAAGGGCAGCTTAAATAATCAATCCTCAAAGAATACTTCAGAATATTCTATCACTCACTCTAAATCCTCGTGTTCGACTATATGTCAGATATGCAATAAACAGTGCATCTACTTGCTAGCACAGCTTCAATGCCAATTACCAACAAAAAACTGCCAATGTTTGGGCTGGTACTAATTCTCAAAAGGCTTACGTTACCTCCACCACTTCGTCTGTTAAATCCGACTGGTATCTTGATACCGGAGCTATATCTCACTTGACTACTGATCTCAATCAACTGCATCTTCCTGAACCTTATCAAGGTACTGGCAGTACATGGTCGGCAATGGTAACACAATTCCTATACAACATTCTTGCAGTGGCATTCTACCTATTCCCAATCGTAAGCTAATTCTTTCTAAACTATTTCATACTCCTCAAATTTCTCACAATCTCATATCAAGCTCTCCATTATCTCATGATAACAAATGCATGATTATTTTTTATGTTTCTGGACATCAAATAAAGGATTGTATTACCCAACAAGTTCTTCTTCGGGATCCATGCAGTAATGGGTTGTACCGTGTTTCTACCAATTACTCAAGCCCTTACATCGGTCATCACTGATTCTGATAGATGGCATCGACATTTAGGACCTCGTCTTTTGACAATGCAACTCATTGCCAAGCAAGCAACAACCTCGATTACATCTTCCTACATATTTTTCTTTTTGCATTTCTTGTACCATTACAAAGTGTCATTGTATTTATTCTAATAAGTCTACTAGTACTCAATGCACTCCATTAGCATTAATACATTTAGATGTTTGGGGTCCATCTCCAACTAGGTCAAATCAAGAATATTGTTACTATGTACTATTTATCGATGAGTTTACTAGGCACACGCGGCTTTATCCATGAGGAGTAAATCTGAAGCCATTTATCACTTTATTAAATTCAAACAAGAAGTGGAACTTCAGTATCAAAAAATAAAAGTAATGCAAACTAAAAATGAAGGGGAATACACTAATCAGCAGTTCAAGAATTTACTCATTATGTAAGGCATTATCCACCAAATTAGTTGTCTTTATACGCCCCAACAAAATGAAACTGCCGAAAGAAAACATCGACACATTCCGGAAACTACAAGAACTACGAGAGCACTTATGGTTGATTCCAATGTTTCTCCATCACTTTGGCTAGAAACGGTCCTCACAGCAGTTTATGTGCTAAATTAGCTATCGGCTAATGTTATAGCTACCAAATCTGCCTATCAGTTACTTTATGGTACTTTTCCGGATTACCACTTTCTTAAAACTTACGAGTGCCAATGCTTTGCATTGTTCCCCTCCACTCAATGCAATAAACTCCAACAAAGGTCTATCACTTGCATATTTATTGGCTATCCCTCCCATGTTAAACGCTACAAATATCTTGACGCCACGATAAGAAAAATTCTCTTCTCTCAACACGTTTTATTTAATGGAAATGTCTACTCTTACAAACAAGTTCAACAACTCGACTCTCCACATTTACTACTAACCCCCCCACCCATCACTCTCCTTTCCGTTTCAACATCTCCAACTCGGAGCACTACCGCTGAAATGTTCAATTCACTTCCAATCCTACCACACCTGCTACTACTCCTACCTGTAACCCATCAACTCACAGTTTTCTCCCTACCAAGCCTGACTTGGTGCATGTGGCTTCCCCATCTATTTCTAGTGATTCTGCTAAAAATCAGTGACTTCTTGCTGCACCTTGCCAAGTATCTGCTCCATCACGCCCTTCCATAAGATCGAAACATCCTATGGTAACTAGATCTCAGACGGGCTCCCTACCTGATAAGATCATGCTCAATCTGCTACAAATTTCGTTGCTCAATACTGAACCTACCACTTATAAGCAAGTTGCATATTTATTGGCTATTGATTATTGGAGGAAAGCGATGGAGGAGGAACTACAAGCTCTCCAAAAACAAAACAATTGGACACTTTTCTCTCCCATGTTGATTAGCCAATTCTTGGAAGTAAGTGGACATTTAAAATAAAAAAGAATCCTGATGGTTCACTGGCAAGTTATAAATAGCCTTGGGTAATCAACGAGGAAATGGTCTCAACTATAAGGACACATTCAACCTAGTAGCCAAAATTCCCACTATATGTCTTTTTCTCATTATTGTCATTCACTATTAGTGGACACTTTATAAAATGGATGTATCAAATGCTTTTCTCCATGGTCAGCTTACTAGAACTGCCTATCTACAGCAACCTTCGGGGTATACCGATCTGATTCACAAACTCCATTTATGTCTTATACAGAAGTCTATCTATGGACTAAAGTAGGCTCCACGACAATGGAATCAAACGTTCACTACCATCTTCTCCAATTCAGTTTTTGAGCAAGTACAGTTGATTCTTGTCTCTGTATCTATTGCCACAACACTCATTGTCTTATCTCTTACTTTATTTTATTGAAATATTATTAACGGACAATAATTGGAGTTGATACTACAACTTCAACAACAATTACAATAGAAAATTTCTATGAAATTTATGGATTATGTTAATAATTTTCTAGATGTCCATATTACTCATACAAATTATGGCTATCACATCAATCACTCGCTATGCGAATGATATTCTCAACCAAACAGGCATGAAAGTCTGCAAATCTGTACCAAATCCCCATGTTCTCTCTCATAAAGTCTACAATGAAGATATCGAACTATATTCTAATCTTTCGCAGTACAAACATTTAGTCGGGTCTCTTCAGTTCTCATTTTAACTCTACCACATATCATGTTGCTGTCAATTATCTGTCTCAACACTTGCATCAACCTTTACAAACTCATTATAATTCTCTTAAACTTATTTTGTGTTATATTAAAGGAACACTAGATTTGGGTATTCCATTTAGAGCTGGTTCACTAGAACTTCTTGCATATGGGGACGTAAGTTGGGCGACTAATGAAAATGATCGTACATCAATTAGTGGTCAATGTATTTTCTTGGACCCAACCTACTATCTTTGGAATGTGAAGAAGCAACATACAGTGGCAAGATCTTCAACTAAAGTAGAGTATAGAGCTATATCATAAACTGCCACTGAAACCAGTTGGCTATGCCATCTGCTTCAAGACTTTCGCATACCAATTTTGACACCTACACCTCTCTATTACGATAATATGTCCGTTATGGCTATTGCTCACAATCCAACTTTTCATACTCATAAAACATTTTCAGATTGACTAGCATTTCATCAGAGATCACATCAAATCCAGCGAAATTACTCTTCAATATATCACCTCTGATGAACAAATCACTAACCTCAGTTTATCTAATTATAAGTAATTAGTTCCTTAATCTCTGTTTAGCTAGAGCTAGATATATGTAATTAATCTTATCTTTGGTATATATATATATATATACCTCTGTATCGAACTTCGAATATAAGGGAAATGATTCTAAATTTTTAATTGCTCTTCTTCTCTCAATTACATGTTCTTCTTCTTTCTTCTTGATTCTATTGCCTGCAACTTCTCCATTCGATCCTTGGAGCTGCTTCATTTCAAATATAAGGTAGTAAGGACGCAGGATCAAAATTCCAAGTCAGAACCATTGATGAGATTTTTCAGTATTGTCAAGTAGGTTCTGACCCGTAAGGACCTGCTTACACAAAAGGACTTTCTTTTTATTTTTTACTGCAATCCACCACTTTAATTTCTATTTTATTTTATTTTCAATCATAGGGTGAAGTACCGGCTTTAAGTTTTTGTTTTTTACCGGCTTTTAGTTTTTTTTTTTTTTTTTTTTTTTTTTTTTCTTAAACAGGAGTAAGGAAGGAGATAAAAATCTGTAGATGGGGAGTAAGTGGTGTGTAAGTGAGTCAAGCCGGTTTGAGCTCCGCTCGATAAGTGTCTCGTGAACTGAGCTTGATGAGCTAACAAGTCAAGCTCAAGCTAGCCCCAACTTGACTCGATAGCTCATGAGCCGTCTCATATGAAAAATATTAATACAAAATTTACTCAAAATATTTGATTTAAAATATTTAAAAAATATTTTTTTTAAATCTTTTATCAAGTGATTTCTTATTATTTCTTTCTTTTTGCTCGTTCTATTTGTCATTTTATTATAATATTATCTTGAATTAATATTCTTATCTCTTTTTTATAATAAATAAGTCAGGCTCATTGATCAGTTTGAATATGTAAACTTAAACTCAAGCTCAAGTTCGAACTCCAAAAAATGAATCAAGCTCCATCGGTGTGACTCGGGCTTGACTTCACTCTTCACAACCCTAAAAGAAAGATAAAAATTAACAAGAGAGCTATGTAGTAAATAATATAAAAACAAAACAAAACCTCACATCCTATTCAATGTTAGCTTCTTAAAGGCATGAAGTTGACCATTCGAGCATCGATTATCACATGACAAGGCGTGCATAAGCTTTTTCATTGGTAAAAAGGGGACCTTATGGCCACTCATGCAATTTTGCATTTTTTAAATGTCACCTTCCACATTATATTTAAGTGTAGGGGTATTCACATACATAGCCTCCAATTTTTATACATTTATTTATCTCACAACCAAACTTTGATTTTTAAGCACATAATGTTCGTTGCCACTTCATTTCTGAAATTATTGCTTGTGGTGATATTACTTTGAACAAGATTAATACCCATGATAATCCTGTGGATATAATGACTAAGTATTGCTTATTCATTCATGATCATTAGAGCTTTCCGAACGAGGTGGAGAAAGTTATATTCTATGTTTTTTTAGAAATTCATGTAAAGGTGTAGATTTCTAAATTTAACCCTAATTTTGTGGCTCCTACTTATCGTTTCGTAGGGAAATTATGGCCATGAGAATTGAAGCTTTAGAAGGAAATTATGAGCATGCTAATTGGGGAAACGTGAGCATTCGGATTGAATGTTTCGACCATTAGATGCTTTATTGACTATTTTTTAATTATTTCCTTTAAAGGGGTCATGCTAAAACTATATATATCCCTTTTCTATTGTGTACATGACATTCTCCACTTGTAATCCCTTATTTGATATATTAAATTCTCCTCATCTGCCCGTGATTTTTTCCATCTTAGATTTTCCACATAAAATTTGTGTTTTTTTATTTATTTATTTTATTATTTGTTACATCGATTCAACATAAAATTATAACAAAACATGTCAAAATAGAGCTTTATAAACATTGCAATCTAAAACAAGAAAAGGAGCTTCCACACATCCATAAAGAAGAAGACTAATTACTTGAGAAATTTATATATCAACAACAGATTTGATTAGACAAACGATATGCTTAGAGTTTAGCTCGCAGCAGAGTATGTCTGAAACAAATAAGATAGTATCTTCTTGTAATCACCCATTTGAGTCCCAGTGTTGGGATCAACAAGAAATGGTACCTGGAGACAAGAAGAGATCTTTAGATGCTTACAGCAGCTAGTCCATTTAGGGGGAGAGAAATAGAGGTACAAATCATCAACAATAGTTGGGTAGATTTAGAGATTAAAATGGTTAAAAATTTACCTTATTAGAACCAGATATTTGCACGAGCAACTCTGTGTTTGATGACCCCTCTCCCACATTGTGGAGGACATAAGGGAGTTCTAATTCACATATTGCTTCACGAACAATCCTTGCAAACTGCAAATATTACAAAAAGATTGTACAAGGAAAGTTTTTATGCTCACCAGATGAAAAGAGAGTCAACTTCGTGCTTACTGGATTGTTTTCATAAGAGAAAAGTTCCATCATCTTTAAAGGTGGATCTATTACAGTCCTGTCCCACAATGTCATACCTCTTCCGGCTCGAAGAAGTGTAGGCACCCATCCTGTCAATGGTGTGCTGCAATATGGTAAAGAAAAAAGTTTCAATTCAAAAAGGCCTAAAATGTCACATAAGATGAACTGCATTTTTTCATAAAATGAGCAGTTGCACATCCCCAAAACAGAGTTGGAACGGTGCCTATAAACACTGTTCGCCAAGTAATTTGAATATTTATGTTAGGCACAAGAATAAAAGGGCACTTCAATCATTTGCTAGTTATAATTGTGGAGTATAAAAATAGACCCTAATATGTTAGGAGTTATGTTATGTGTGATTATTGTCTTGAATCTTAGTTTAGGGTTTGAAAGAGATGATCTACCTCTTAATTTTTAAGTATTTATATTTTATGTATTCGGGATTGTATTCTTTTGATTTAGTACAGGCAGAATAGAATCTATTATCCTTGCTATAGTTCTTACAGAAAATTGTCCCACTCCTATCACCAATCAGAGCATTCAAAATTTCTCAGAAGCCAATGATAAGAATGTTGCGTATAGGGATTAGCTCATATTCGTGATTGAACCTCACGATACAGTCGCGATTCGAGTTAGCTGGAAAGCCAATGATGGGATCACGACATACGGGGTCCATTGTGTTACATATAGGATCGCAACGTACAGGATTTGCCATGTTGTGAATAGGATTGCAGCGTACAAGATTGTAGCATATAGTATCGCTACGTATAGTCCCGATATGTTTGAATCATGCGGCATCAACTTCGTGAGCAAACCTCGCGACACAGTCAAGACTCGAGCTAGCGGGGAGGCCAACGACGGAATCATGGCGTTCACAAATTCTGCCTTCGTGATTGAAAATAGTTTGAGAGTAATAGAGTCAAAGAAAGTAGATGCTTTGAAAAAAAAATTAGGGGAGAGGTGAGCCAAATCAGATATGGAATGAAGAAGTCTTTCTTGCTCATGGAGGTGTAGTTCTCGACCATGGAGGGGAGATTCAGATTCCTTGAGAAATGTGAATAAGATCTCACAGTTTCACACCAATCAGCCACCGCCTGCTGCATGATCGGGTGACGGTGTCTGGAGTGGAAACGAGAGACAAAATCAGAAGGATTTACGCAATGTCAACGCAGTGTCGTTGCCTTAAGTGAATCTAGAGCAGCGAGATCGAGCGAAGGAATCGGAAGTGGACTCATGCGACAGTGTTTGGAAAGAATAGCGCTACATCCGGACGATTCGAATGAGCTACAACAAGCGGAACAGGACGGCGTGCAATCCAAGTCCAGAAAAGATCGATTTGAAGGATTTCAGCCTGGAATAGAAAAGCACGATGGGTGAGACCACTGCCAAAGGATGCATCCAACCGTGACGATGCACTTTTGTTTTGGCAGCCATCCGAGCGAATTGTGATGTAAGAACCTATGGGATGGGCAAGCTGATTATGAAAATAAGCCAAACTTATAGAAGAAGACGAATCAATATTTTTTGAGGAAGGGAACCCTAACCCCACTTCATGGGTGGAATGAATTTCAGTCGAGGAGATTGAGGAAAAACTAATGCATAAGAAAGATGAAGATGTTGATCTTTGAAAGAGAGGATGTCTAGGGTTGGGCCTATCACATTGAGATATATTTTGATGTTAATAAGATGACGGAGCAAGAAATATTGATGGAGGCGGACTTGTGTTTAGAATGAAAGACTCTAGTGTGGGATTAATAGAGAGAACAACGTCATCCAATCAAAACATGGGAAAAATTCAAAGACCAATTGTTGGAGCGTTTCACAACCACATAGGAAGAGAATTTATATGAGCAATTTTTTGCATTGCTTTAGGAATAGTTTATCATAGATTATAAGGAGAAATTTGATATGTTATTATATCGTTTGAGAGGATACTGGAAGTAGTATTGGAAGAAAACTTCATGAAGGGGTTTGTTGAGCGCGAGGATTAGGAGAAACTAGGGAATTAGTGTTGTTGGTTGAAGATAAAAATACAGTGAAATGGGCTAATAGAAACAACACAAGTAGAGCATCCTGCCAAAATATTACAATTACGATGATACTGAAAACTCAAACAATGGGATTCTAGAAAGAGGTTCCACGGGACGGAATACTGGGCCAAAATTAGGGGTGACATTCAAATGTTTTACAAAGACAAAGATTCAAGAGAAGCGAGCCAAATGATCATATTTTTGGTCTGATAAGAATATTGCCCCATGACCCATTGCAAGGATCGAACCTTACAAGTTATCATAGTGTGTGATGAGGAGGTAGACGACGAAGAAATAGCGGAGGAAGTCTCATTAAAATCAGTTGTGAAGTTAACAAAGAACTACACTATGAAACTTCGGGAAAGATTGGAGAGCAAGATTCCAATCAGGATATAGTGGTGTTGGCAGATAGTGGGGTCACCCACAACTTTATCTCTACTCAAATAATAAAGCAAATGGGGCTTAAGATGGTCGAAACAGAAAGTTTTAGAGTCATGATGGGGACAAGACAGGTGGAGATGAGCAGGGGAGTTTGTAAATGGGTGCTTTTAACACTGCAAGGTATTTTGATGATGAAAAATTTTCTTTTGAATTTAGGGAACACTGTTGTGATATTATATATGAAAGTTTACAGTCCTTAGGGGAGACTAAGATGAATTGAAAACTCCTGACAATGGAGTTATAGGAGGGAGACAAGATGAGTGCTTCGTGGTGACCCTAGTTTGTGCAAGACCTTAATGATACTCAAGATCATGATTAGGATAATACAGGACGCAAGGTTATGATTCTTGACCAAGTTGCATAGCATGGAAGAGACACGTGACACAGAGTTGGCAGAGTTTCCGACACCGATCCAACCTCTCCTATAACAACTTGCAAAACATTTCTAGTTGCCACACGGGTTGTTGCTTCGGAGGGAACACGAGCATGCAATGGCCCTAAGAGCAAGGGTTTCTCCCATTAGTGTGTTGCTACCTTCAGAGCTTCAATTCAACGCTAATAGAGCTGGTTAAATCTTAGGGTAAAAAAAAGGAGGCGATCAAATTGAGGAGAAGGAGCTCAAGCTTTACATAGATTAAAAAGACCCGTTGACAACACTTTGCAATGATCCAAAAACTAACATTATTATTCTTAGTGGAAGTGATAGAAGTGTCTTAGATGATAATTTTGGGGAATACAATATGTGGTTGGCAGCAGAAAATGGGAAATTTTTGTATCTTATATACGGAAAGTGGATGACTACAAATCTAGAAAATATTAACAAGGATTGGGTTAAAAGTGTGAAGCATGTTTTCGAGTATTTTACAGAAAGAACTCATAGGTATCACTTTGACCATCGGAGGCCTCACTTGAATAGAACTACAAATATGCAAATGTTGAATATGGAAGAATTCAAGCAAGGGACATCCTACAACATCTATGAACAGGTCCAATATCTAATGTTGCTCTTAATGTTGTCCTAGTCAGTTGAATAGTTGAGCTTCGTACAATGGGAGTCACTAAGGGTAATGCAATTGATTGAATATTGGGAGAAACTATGCAAAACAAGAACATGGTTACACCAATAGATTATGTTTTATGCATCGGGGCCTTCTGGGGAGAGGATGAAGAAAAGAAAATTCTATTAGAGCCACTTGAGTTAAAAGGGTGCGCCATGAATTGACAAGTGGGAAAGAGGTGTTGATTAAATGGAAAATATTGTAGAATATGACGTTACGTGAGAGCCATAGAACTAGATCCAGCAGCACTTTTATCTCTTCCACCATGAAGACAATGTGTCATTTTGAAGTTGGAGTAATATTAAACCAGGTGCCTACGAAGCTGTCTACGAAATAATTTGAAAATTTATGTTCGGAGCAAGACTAAAAAAAAATTTAGTAATTTGCTAGTTATTATTATGGGCATAAATAAGGCTTAATATGTTTAGGATTATTTAATGTGTGATTGTTATCTTGAGTCTTATAGTTAAGGTTTGGGAAAGATCGTCTATTTCTCAAATTATAGGTGTTAATTTTTATGTATTTGAGACTATATTGTTTTGATTTGGCACCAATGGAATAGAATCGATTATTTCTGCCCTAATTACTGTTGAAACTTGCCTCGTTCCTATTACATAGCAAGGATTTTATACTCACACCCTTTTTATCTACTATTCTTCAACCATATTAGATAACTTTTGTTAGCTAAAGATCTCTCATTATACTTTTTCCGTTCCAAAAATCTTTTTGGATGATGGGGAAGATGGCTGTTGCTGATTAAGCAAATTTTCTAGAGTTCCATTCATTATGTACTGTGAGGTGGTCTAAAATGATCACATAAAGTAAAATTTGAAATGAAGAGCAAAAAAAAGCAACGAGTTGAGAACAAACTAATTTTACATGCCAAACTCAATATCTCTAATTCCATCAATAGTCATTTTGTCGCCTCTTCATCGCAATATGCACTAATACTTTCATAAAATTTAGGTCCACAAGATTTTGTTCCAACTGAAGTATTCTTAGAGCATATGAAGGACAACAGCTGGAAGTACCTCTCCAAAAGACCAAATGATGGAGATCTTCCTTGTCCATACTGCTGGAATAAGTACCTTACAATGTCACCTGTACTGGATTTCTTAAAAATCAAAAAACATGAATGCTATGTCACTATGCTCTAAAAGCAGAGCTCTTAAGTATAAGCAAGAGAATTTTCTAAGAAAACAACATCAATAGAAAATAGTATGCATTACAGTTTGTCAAAATATCATAGAAAATAGTCCAGTCCTCGCGCATAACTACAAAAAAGGGGCTACTTATATAACCTAGGAAAAGATAGATTTGGGAATATGTTCAAAGAATATTAAATTACAAACAAATTTCAAGACATTACAACAATCCTATGGTTCCAAAGAATAGGATTCTTTTTCAGAAGAAATAATAGTTAATAGTGCTAATTTGAACAGCATAAAAGAAAGTAAAGAAAGCTTGGCAGAAGGACTGATTAAAGGCATAATCAGCCAAATTCTAACAAAATCTTATAAAAGACTTGTGATTTCAGTAAAAAGTAATAAAGAATTGCTTTGAGACTTACCACTTTCATACATTGAAACATCATTATTTAAGTCAATGAGAAACGGAAACCTGCAAGATATTTTGGATATTATATTTAGGCTTAATTAGTGATTAAAAATGCAAAATAGTGCAGAAGTCAATCATCCAAGTTATGCTGCTCTGGTGAAGCAAATGTACATATTGTGCTACAAAAATAGTTGAAGTTTTAGATAGGAACAAAATTAAAACGACTCGTGCAGATTATTTTAAAAAACCATTCAAAAGAAAAATAATTAGGTGAAACTACACATGCTGATTACTTTAGAAAACCATTCAAACTGTCAAATATACTTCACAAGTTACGAAATTACACATGCTGATTACTTTAGAAAACCATTCAAACTGTCAAATATACTTCACAAGTTATGAAATTACACAATACAGAAATCCATGTCAATCTACCATTCTTTGCTGCAAATCATGCACATTTTCAGTAGCTGCAGGTTCGGTTGCAGTTTTCTTATAAAACAGGATACATAATAAAATGAGAAACGTGTACAAAGAACTAAGACGACTGCTTACTGCTCCTTCCCCCCAATTTTTCGGACTATTTCTCGGTGCCTTCTTGATCCTTTCGGGCAAGGATAGACCTAAATAAAGTGTGTTGGATACACCAATAAGAAACTATGAATGCATAACTGATAAAGCCATAAATCAATCTGTCAAAAACCCAAGTTTCTACATAAAATTTGGATTCCTATGTAAATATAATTTCATTTTTCCAACAGCAAAGAACTCTATGCAAATGCGTGGCTTGTAAAAAGAAAAAAAAATGAACATGGTGTTATAACAAGTTCTACATAGTATAATTTTCTCTGTACCTCTGAAGAAAGATCCAGTTCAGTCATGGCCTCTCGCACTCTCCTACAAAACGGGCAAGCCTCTGTTGGCAAATAATAACAACACCCCACTTGTAAATCATTTCAATTCCTAAGAGGAAGAATGCAGATAAATATTCAAGATAGAATAAAAAAACGAGAAGAATTGAAAGCACAAATTAAATTAATTTAAGATGTCTAAGAAGGTGGCTTGATAGTATCCACTAAAGGATCAGAAGGTTACCAAACTCATAAACCTGCAACATGGGTGGATTTTGGCTGTGTACGGTGCCAGTTAATGATCTTGAACCCCATGGAAGCCTTGCCACACTAGACAATGAAGATGTTGTGACCTGCAATGATGCATGAATCTAAATTATAATATTATGCAACCTTGTCGTAGCTACACGTAAAAATTTAAAATTATTAAAAGATGACATGTCTCAGAGATCTAAAAAAAAGAAAAAAAAAACAACATGCCATTTTGACCTTGAAAGCATTTTAGTTGGGCTGTAATAGTAAGCTATAGAAGTTTATTTGTAACATATATCAAATGAAATTTAACTATATGAACAGAAAAGCTTCATGATACATCCACTTAAGGCTCTTGGGGACCACAATTATATGAATGTGCTTAACCGGAATGATCAAGAGAAAAGTGCCATGGTATACATATATCAAAACCCCCAAGGGCAATTGAACTTCCAAACCTCCGATTTCTTCCTCAAGGTGTAATTCTGACCAAATAGAGAAGGTGTGGGGGGCTTTTAACTTCACAAGCACAAGTTGAGGGCTTCTTCCAACGGCCATTTGAGGGGAAGCTATAGTTTTGGCCCACCCATAAAAATTTGGCAGCCTTAACTATGAGGTTTATTTATTTGTTCCTTTTTTATATGTCTACGGTACAAGATTTTTTTTCTAGTGAATTGATCCTTGCTTTCTTTGTTGTTCTCAATGAGAATGGTAAGGGCCCGTTAGTTTCAAAAAACTAATATCAGGGCATAATTGTGAAGATGTCGTTATCTAGAAGATTAATATTTTATTCCAACACTATTAGTTATGGAGTTGAAATATTTAATGAGAATAATTGATTTAAACATATAAAAAAAAGAGAAAGAAAAGAATCAAAATGATTGTAAGGTGCCACTTTAGTCCCAACCAAACATAGAATGTCCAATTTAATCCATGAACGCTTAAAATAAGAGACAAATTATCATGTCATTAAAGGTAATGAAAATTCAGTTAATATTAACAAAAATTATTAGAAATGGGAGCATTTTGGAAACTTACATCTTTTAGAAAACTTTCTACAAAATCAAGTTTTCTACTTACCTCATTTGTGATATAATCTATCAGTAACATTCTCAATATGTGTTACTTCATTTTAAAATATTTTGTGATGAAATTGATGCATATTAAATTTTAAAAATTTAGTAATTATTACTCATGCTTTTTTTATAAAATATCCCAAAGTTAAAAGAAAATCATTTATTGGATTTTATAAAAAAATTTATTAAGTAAATTCCTAAAATACTCACCCTCAATTTTAATATAATCTATTAACTTCAATTTCCATTCTTTTTAACAGTGGAATCAAGTTAGCTCCTATTTTTAGACTTTAGGGACTAAATTGAATCTTTTAATAGTCTCAGACTAAAATGACCTTTTACAGATAATTGGTGACCACTTTGGTCCTTTTCTCATTTAAAAATAAAGATGAGAGCATCTTTATCAAAAGAGATACATAGGATATGTGGAAAGATACAAATCAACATACCAAATCTATTCATCAATCATCTCTGGTTTATTATTTGCATTTTGCATCAAGTGAAATACATCACTACATAAGCATTAAATGCTAAAAACATGCTTCTTTTAAATGTAGCAAATCTCAACATGAAGACTGAAAAGAAAGATATTTTTTCCATTGCTATGCTCTCGACCATTCTCCAATAAGCACATAGAGGCTACTTTTCTATATGGAAAAAAATCTCAATTCCAACATAAAGGTAAAGTTTACTCCTTTTTGTAATGAGTTTAGAAAGTTGTAAGAATAAAGCTCAATTGAAGGCTTATTTGTGAAAATATATAGAAGCTTGCAGAAAGTAAGGAAGATAGATCCAAATCAAAATTCAAGAAGGATAATGTCATTACTCCAAGAAGCCAACGTAGCAAAAAATTGAATATACAATGCTGCAAGAAAAAAAGGCAAGTCTAAATTTAAAGCAAAATTGGAGGTGGTAAAACAAAATGATTATCTAGTATCATACTACTGTTTGTAAAGTATCGTGTTTCCTCCACAAAAGGTTAGATTTTTATGTACCGAGCAATGATATTATCTATAATTTTGTTGGGATGAGATCATTCAAATCAAGACATGAAGATACAAAAGCATTGGAAGAGGTGAGACATATGTCAGCTTTGAAGAGAAACCATCTCTTTAGCTTTTTTTGGGCTTCAGTGGGTGTAGATAAACCTTATCTCTTTAGCTTATTTGGGCTTCAATGGATATAACTATAGAAGGGATAGTGAATATTTTCAAGGGAACGATGATTTTGGTGAAAACTAGAAAGCATGGTGATCTTTACTTCCTCCAAGAAAGTACAGAGACAGGTGCAAATCAATTCTCCCTCAAATAAATTATCTTAATTATGGTACAATAGACTTGGGCATACGTCGAAGCAAGGCCTATTAATACTTAATAAGAGAGATTTACATTCTCGACAAAAGCATTGAAATCTTAGATTTTTGTGAGCACTACATTTTTTGAAAGGATCACATATTAAAAATCATTGCAGGAATTCATAAAACCAAGGATGCCTTGAACTACAATCATTCTAACTTATGAAGCATTGTCGTCAACATTAGATCAAAGGGTGGATGTCCGCGCCCCTTTTTGTTCTGACCAAAAATATGGCTTTCTTTGTGTCTGTCCTTTTTCAAATCCCCCTTTCTAGGTCACCATCGTTTTGGAAAATCAAATGAAGAAAGGTAAAACAAAAAAATGGACAAAAACTAGCAAGAAACGAAAATAGTAGAGACGAAGGCATTTATATAGAATAGTCCTTGTAATATAAACAGGAAAAGAGCGGCCCACAAGAATCAGACCATGCTCGACCTGAGAAATATACGAGAAAAATCCTATAGAAAGATCCTCATAACCAAACCAGATGACAAAATTAAATTTATTTTATTCTGAGTTCAAGATACCACCCGCATCCTCATTGTCAATTCCAAAATAGGAGGGAGAAAGCCCAAGAAGAATCACCAAAAAAGTTGTTGAGTTTGCTTTAAATTAGTCTTTTGGAATATAGGCAATAATGTAGATTATTAACAGTCCCAATATGGGAAATCCTCAAGTTTTCAAGGCAAAACTAGGCCACCAGGTAGAGAGTGAATCATCATAACCTAACGGGTAAATGTCACTAAGCTGAGAGGGCTTATGATACACGTCTACAAAGACACGAAAAGGAAAATGACTATGTTCAAAGAGGGTAGATCAACAAGTAGGTCGGAGAAAAAAAAAGCTAGACAGATGCACATAGCCTGGTAAAGGCCTCGTGGACTCATCCTCTTAGACTATTGGGACACTAGATATACTAAGTTGTGAAGGTAGTCGACCCAACCCAACTGGGGTCTTAAGGAACTCATGTGTTATAGCATTTGAAGCGATTCAGCATATTCAAAGAAAAAAAAAAGAAACATCTAAGCTCCTATGACTCAAATTGGATTAAAAAGGAGAATATGGATTATACTTGCCAATAATGCAGACAGAAAACCTATCAGAAAAAAGAGGAAACAAATGACTTGGCTACAAAGCTAAGTCACCCCAAAAAGGACTAATAATCTCGTATGTATCAGGAAACCTCTAATATCTTATATTGCACTAGAGAACAGCATAATCGTATAAAACAAATGTTGGGCCAGTCCGATTGGAAAGCAAGAGTACATTCCTTGGGTAACGCACTATGAAATTCTAAGCGTGGAGACCCTACTAGTATGCTCGGGGGTATTATTCATGTAGTTATGATTGTTTTAAAATTGATTCGAAGGTCATACAGAAAACTAAATGCATGAAATAAAATAATAGAATTTAACTCTTGAATATTTTAGTCCTAAATTTAATTAGAGATTGTTTTTTCTTAAATTAAATTTTATAGAAAAGATTTTATCCTAATGAGCCCAGTCATGATTGTATCCAGACAAACCACAAACATAAGAATGTTGAAAAATAAACACTCAATATAAAAGAATAAGAAGCCAATAGCGCCGCTTATAATCCCAAAAAAGAATAATGTGATCGGACTCCGCTTATACATATCTGATCTTAAAATTATACAACAAAGATATAATCTGAAATTAAGGTACTAGACAAGAACAACAACTCCTATTCCTCTCCACACGGTCTCTGCTCCAAGCTCCAAAACTCATGCTCATACATTATTTTTATTACAGACTCTCGTAGAGGATTTTAAAAGTACATAAGAAAGTCAAAAAATAAAACTCGACCTGTAAAACAGAGGTTAGTACGAGCTATATCATGTAATGTGTAAAAAGATCATATTTGACTGGATGAGAGCTAAATAACACCTGCAAAAAATATGTCAATCAAAATCATAACTAATCTCTTCTCTTTTAGATAATGACACCTACAAAGAAGAATCCACCTTAATATATTAATGCGTAAGTCTCACACCTAGTAAAGCGTGCAAAAAGGCATTCAAAATGTGCAACAGCTAACAAGAGCCAAAGAATATTAGTGTGCACCACAAAATCCTAACTATACCCTATACCTAGTTATACATAGGAACCACAATGTATTGTCTAACCATTATCTATGGGTAAGACATATAGTGCAGGAGCTAAAAGTCTTTCTGTAGGATCCTGACGTGGTCACCAAGCTGGCCCTATCCCTAGCATCTGAAGAAACTAGCCCTTGGCGGAGGTTAGCCAAGGCCATGCTAGGAACGATCCTATGAGATCTAGTCATAATAGGATAATTCTCATTACCCGACTGAATAAACCAGCAGGCAAAGCTCATTTCCCTATTACAACCTTAGGTTAAACTAAGGGTACCTGAAGCTTTGCCACTAATGTGTTGACTCATGCAACCTAGACCTATAAAAGGAAAACAAATGTTTCACTCGGACTAAGCAAAACACATGGTGCATTAAAAATGCACAATATACAAGTCGCATTAATGGGAAGCTAAGCCCCGAAGCACGGCACACAAAATCAACATAGTATGTTTAAGGCAAGAAGGGCAAACTAATGCAACAAAGGCATCACACAAGTGAGTGCAATAAATGCATACTAAATCCAGTCATGCATGGGTCAAACAACACAATAAATT